TCTCTAGTTGAAATTGTATATAGCATTATTCGAAGGTGTACTTCCAAATTCTTTACCACCAATCAGTTATGAAAAGATTCTGTCTTAGATGTGTTTTCTTCCTCCTATTACTGAGCTTTTGAAACCCAGTCTTCCTTCTGTTAACGATTCTTTGAATACCAAACTCCCTTCTATTGGTAATATCTTTAATTTGAATCTTTCTGATAGCACAAACGAAAAATGCTGAAATCAAAACCGTAAGAAGTTGAAATAAAAAAAACCTTTTAAAAGAAAATTAAGTTATACTAAGTGCTTTAAGATAGTTAAGTTATATTGGCAAACCTAACATATGTATAAAATAAATGGCAAATCTAACATGCAGATTTTAAGATGTAAGTCTTTGGTAGAAGATATTTTTTCGCAAGAAGAAAATATATTTAAAACGGCGGCATTTTATAGGCTAGGATTTAATTATTATATTTATAAATTTTAGAATTGTCTTCAAACTTTAGGACTTAAATAAGAACATTCATTTTGACATAATATTAAATTTACTAAAAAGATTTGCATGAACTCTTGATAAGCTTTAAACTATAAGACCCTTCTAATTTCAAAATTTATTATAACTTGTGGCAATGTAATTAACTATTAAATTTTTAGAGTTAAAATAAAACAGACGAATTAGATGAATTAATAATCTCCTATAATTTAAAAATAGATGACTATAATTATTCATGAAATCTGAACTATTGTATATACCCCATTATGATTACAATTAAATCCTTCGCTACGCTCTAGAAGATAATTTTTAACACACATAATTTGTGAATACTATTTTTTACTATAACTCAGCTATTTATCTAGGTTAATGTTTGGACTCGAGTCAACTTGTAGCTTAAATATTTATTTTTAATACACTTTAGATGTTTTCAAAACTTTGAGCGAAAATATCTTGATAACTACCCAACAAAATTTAATATATTTTTTTGTTTTTATTCTACTGATTCGCAGAATCAAAATAAAAAAATTCATTGAATTTTGCTGGATGGTCGTCGAGTTATCTTCGCTCAGAGTGTTGAAAAATTTTAATTTTTATGTGTCAAGAACGTAACTCAAATTTAGTGATATGATCTGCTATAACTGGTCATATGCCGGTACCGAGATATCTTTACTCAGTCTTGAAAAAAATTTAAATTTTATGCATCAAGAATGTGAAGAGCTTGTTAACGAAGTGACAAAGCATTCATTATTGTGAAATTAGATGACTTTATAGATCACATGTTCAATTTGTCGTTTAACTTATAGATATTTGTAAACAGCTTTATAGTATCTTGTTAGATACAAGTATTTTCTGGTTAATATAGTTGTTGTAATGTGAATTACTATGAGAATGGGTAATGAAAACAGGGAGTAATCATATGGTATTGCATAACAGACCACCTTTTGTGCACTAACAAATATTTTCTTTGAACGATTTTACTATCTAATATAGTGCAAGACATCTAATCACATTACAAAATAATTGCTTACAGTAAAAGTTTAATAACTTTTTAACAAATAATTCTTTTAAAGAAAAACCTTCTATAATCATATTTTTTGATCTAAAGAATATACTATGGAGAGTTTTTTTAAAAAACCTTTTTATTAAAAAGTTATTTTAATTTGAAAATTCTTTAATTTTATAATAAAATCAAAAAATCCAGCACTTTGTTTTGTTAATAAAAGGTAAATTTCAGTGTTTGTATTACATATTTTAAAATTTAATTTAATAAATTAAAGTTTTTTTCTCTTTTTTTTTATTCGCACTCTTTTAAATTTCAGCACTTATATAATTTTTAAAATTCAGCGCAATTGTATATATAATTCAGTTTGCCGATTTACCAAATATGGGTAGCATCGATCACACTTTTTATGGTATAAAAACGTTAATCAGATATTTTTAGACATTTCAGTTGCACAATATCACATGTTAATTAGCCAATCAGATTATGGCCTTGG